AGCGGGACTGGAACGATAGGATTATCCCGTGAGTGTTCCTTCTTCGGCGGGGTCGTTGAACCAGGAAGTTAGCGAACTTTGAAATACTGATGGACCTAAGACAAAGACCGCATCACACCCTGTCCAACCAATTAATGCCCACGTATCCTGCCCTAGCAGTCCCTGCTGGGTCGGTTACGTGAAGTAAGAAAGAGAAAAAATAAACGCAGAAGGCAAAAGAGAAGGTGAAAAGAGCTAAGCAAGTGGAATACCAAGATATTTGAGTCATTAAAACAAGAACTGAAAAGTGAAGGTGAGTCGGCTAGGAAAAAGGAAAGGTTTGCTGTTGCCACCCAAGAGCATCGAGCTGGCGCGCAAAACCCTTAACTGTAGGTTCCCTAACCACATGATCTGGAAGCGAATTCCAGCGATCTATAACTCGGCGCGATAGACGAGTTTCCGTCCTAATCCTATCAGACCGTGGTTTATGCAGTTTCAGTGGGTGACCGCGGAGACTAGGTAACGTAGCGGGACTAAAAAGCCCTGACAAGTCCGGGCCAATCTTACCCGTCAAAATACGATAAGTGAGAATCAGGTCCCCTCTTATCCTTCGGTAGTGCATGGAGTACATACCCAAACTGAGCAAGCGTTCAGGATACGTCTGTCCCCGTAGACCCTGCACTAACCGAGTGCCCACTCGTAACACCCTCTCCAAGTCCATTTTGTCTCGGTTAAGACATGGTGGACAAGCCTGAATACAATACTCCGGGTGGGGTCGGACGAATGCCGAAAATAGCTTCACAAACAACTTGGCCGTTAAGATTCCGAAAGAGCGGCGGATAAACGACATGATACGAAACCCTCGACAAGCAGCCTTCTTCCAGTTGTCTCCAGAATGAAGTGCTGATGCATGTACGACTCCTAAATCAACCTGCTGAGTGACAACAGGGAGTTCACCACCGCCGACAACATATCGAGTGGGAGGATTTGAAGCTCCGATTCGGCAGAGCACTTCACCCTATTTATGGGCATCAACCATAAGATAGACCATTCCCAGAGTCTATCCAAGGCACGCTGAATTGCCTCAGGACCCCCCGGGATATCCACAATATTCCAGAGCTTAAGGTCGTCAGCAAACATTAATGATGACACCCCTAGCTCTCCCGGCAAGTCATTTACATAGATCGCGAACAACAATGGCCCCAATACCGAGCCCTGCGGAACGCCACTAAGGACAGCTTGCCTGAGCGAAAGGCTACGCCCCACCCGTACGCACTGTTCCCTCCCCTCAAGGAAGGCAGACAACCATTGAAGGGCGCGACCAGATATCCAGTAAGATCTCAACTTTAGTGAGAGACGAAGATGTGGAACAGTGTCAAAAGCTTTCGAAAAATCTACGAATAGCACGTCTACAGCGTGGCCACTGTCTACCGCTTCGGCCCAGATTTCACGAGCTACAAGTAAATTAGTCTGACATGAAAATCCTTTGCGGAATCCATGTTGTGCAACACTGAGAAGTTTGAATCGATTCAGGTGGTTCTCCACTGAATCCCTTATCAGCTTCTCGAACAACTTGACTACTACGCTTGTCAAACTGACAGGCCGGTAGTTCGCGGGTACAGCGCTGTCACCGCCCTTAAAAATCGGACAGATGATTGCCTCCTTCCATTCCAAAGGTAGGCTGCAGCTGTACAGCGATATTAAAAATACGCACGTGAGCGGACCACTCAGCTCAGTGGCCAGTTCATGCAACAGCTTCGGATGAATTGAATCAGGACCGGAAGCTTTAGAGGGATTAATGCCTTGCAGTAGCTCGAAGACCTGAGTCTCCGTTATGCTAAATTCAGCTAAGCAAGAATCCTCTGGAACTCTTGAAACCAATGCAACCTGTGGTAAAGAGGTCTCCCGAGCGAAGACCCCAGTATATTGATCACTCAGTGTAGGTGTGACGCAATTGGCTACGCAGCTGCATTCCTCTGGGAATCGTCGGTAATTACAACTGCTAGCAACCTAAAGCAAAGTGTACACCAAACCACCTACCAAGAAGGACCAAATTATAGGATTGAAGAAATTGATGGTGGATAAATCAACCCGGTTAACCTTTTGGTTAGAAAAATCTCAAGTATAACTAATGGGTGGAGGCGTCTTGGAGCATTAAGATCAGAACTAGATTGCGGTAACGGTAGTGAAGATGCTAATAGGAAACAATTGCCTTGCTCAAACGACGAAAGTGAAATCCCATCAGGATCATTGGATGACAGAGAGCCGAAGGAAGATCCTTTGTTAGCTCCTTCCCCGATCAATGCGCAAATGGCGTGGGTCATTGCTGCACAAGGTTCCGCAGAGGACAACCATAACTGTCTTTGAAGCAGCAGAATCCCAACGCAATCAGCTGAAAATCCAACAGTTGTTTGAAACGTTCCTCTGTCTCAGCAACAACAATAGGCTCCGGCAATCGGTTCCAATCATTCACCACGCCAATTGATAAGGCCAGATTGAGCCGCACAGTGATCCTTCGGTTTGAACAGTTTCAAGCGGTGGCCTCGTTGCAATGAAGTGATTAACTTGGGATACTAATGTAACTAAAACGGCTAACGGACGTTGCATAACAGTTACCGGCGTGGTAATGGGTGTTGCGATATAACCAAACACACTTGATGATATGGTTAGGAGCCGGCCCCAATGGCGTTTGTGTTGTGAGTTCCTTCGTCCATTCCCCTTCTGCTTAGCATCCCCATCCAATCATGATCTCACTTGTTAAGCATAATATGACTCAGCGGGCGTGCCACTGTTTGTTTGTTTTTTTTTCTTATCTTGCCTTTTGTATTGCGGCACAATAGCTGAGGTGTTTTCCACCTCCAGCTAACGTGTAATGAAAAAAAAAATATGACTCTTTTACGGCAGCCAGCTGTTAGCTCTCCGGAACGGTCCATCAGTTACTGAGGTCTCAGCGGTCGTGCCACTGTTTTTTCTTGTCTTTTGTATTGCGGCACAATAGCTGAGGTGTTTTCCACCTCCAGCTAACGTGAAATGATGATGATGAAACACATGAGCAAGCGCAAAAAGTTGGCTGGTAATGTGATGCATACATAGTTTTAAGAAACATAGTAACACATGCAATACTGTATGAAAAAAAACCTACATAGGAATGAATGTTAGAACAAGGTACAAAAATAGTCGCGAGTTAGTCGAAAGAAAAAAGCATTTACCAGTAACTGCAAAAAGCAAACATAAAAACTCACTTTTGATTACACGCTCAACAGTGTGACCCCCAGAAACGGAAGCATTTGATGTCATCAGTGAATGATGCTACCAGCAATAAGCACAAAGCATCTATCAACGATAGTCATTTAGAGATATTCCGAAAGGGGATCAGCTGCCTCCATCTGTTGCTATGGCCGCCACCACTTTCTAGGTCACTCGGCAATCTCACAAAATTAACCTATACTGCAGATCCGCTTCAAATTGCATCCAGAAATACATTAAACAGCAAATAATTTCAAAACACGTGCATATAGGATAAATTTTTATAACCGGTTGTTTGGTTTATACTTGTCATCTGTACTAACCGCGCTATTCGCAGTCGATGTAAAAATGATCTGTGGAATGTGAACACACATTCGAACCCGCTTTACTGCCCACCCGGTTCATAGCCCACCCGCTTTTTGTCCACTTTTTCAAGGACAAATTCTTTTCTCAGAAATTTGCTAACTTTTCATCGTCTAACTGTCCATTGCCGGTGTCGTTCCACCACTTAATTGCCCAGCTGCTTTGGCCCTGCATCCATCGCTTTGTCAACTTCACGACCTTGCTCCGACTGTCCTTTTTCGATTACCGCACAGTTAGTCAATCCATCTGAGTCGGTGACGATGTTATCAGATCAGAGATGTGTACCTACGTCATAAAAACACAAGCAGACCGCTGTGTGCAGGCCTTCGGGCCTATTCCAAAATCGAGGACTGCGCAAATTCGCATACTCTTTCCGTTCCGCATTTGTCAGTAGTCTATGGGAGACACACATGTAGGACCAATTGGAGAAATAATTTTCCTTAATGGAAATGTTTGACTGGATTATATCAGTTCGTGAGCAAACCAAACTGGAAGTTCGTAGCTGGCACAGAAGTGATAGTAAAGAAGGAAGAATAGGAACCCAATTCGGTATAAAGGTGCGCATGAAGAAAATGGTTTCGCGGAAAGAGCAGTCTGTGTAAGTGTACTGTGACATAGAATGGCCGTACCTTAAATACATTTGCTGCCGGGGAACATATTAAATAAATAAACATTTATTCTCGGCTATTCGAGGCATGCTCGCAAGCGCGGAAGCGAATAACTGCAATTATAAAGACATGTCATAGCAATTGTAACAGTCACAATCGGAGATTGTTCGGACGTTCCCTTTTGAAACTGTACAAAAAGGACAGAATCATAAAAGAAGAACGCCCATTGTCGTGATTTCGGGCACGTTCGTGTGTGCACATTTGTTCTGTCATAAAGTGCAGTAAAATTCAGGCGGGCATAGATCAAAAACTAGCACTGATCAATTCGAAAAGTGCTGTGACGTACACGCTCAATCGCGATTACACGATACGCCGGGTTTATGTGGGTGTAGCGTAAATAAAAAAGGTGAATGCACAGAAAAAGTCGTGGCGAGTTACGTGCAGATTAGAAAGTGTCGGAGCGCATCTTGCACGGTAGTATGTGGTCATGCTCAGCTTGTCATTGTGGACTTATTGCCTGTGACCTATTCAGTGGCGAGTCTCCTCCGCCACTTCGCAATGTTGTTAAACGGACTTTTGTGGTTTTTATGGGGAGAATACTTGCCAAACGAAAACCCACCACTTCCTGGAACACTGCCATCGATGCATTCAAACGACAAGCTGCAACTGGTTTGCTTCTTATTGACCGACTATTGGTTCTCTTATTCGCAGTCAGGATGAACCTATAATCTTCGCTGGCTGATGCATGATGAAATGTGTCCAGTGAGGTTGCCTCACCTGAGCACCACGACGTCGGTAACTTATCGCCATTACGTTAACAAGCGAATGCGCCAGAATCCCTCTGTCTAACATCCAGAACTGGACGTTTGTGGCTTGTCCTTGGGAGAAGGATAATGCTTCGGACACTGGTGCTTTTCAATGGGTTGCTTGTGATGTTTGTGTAGATTGGTTCCACCAATCCTGTGGAGAGTATTCAGAGAATGGAACCTTCACATGTTTTCTGTGAGACAACTAATAACTGTTTTTGAAAACGGACAGCAGCTTGTAACGGAAGAGCCATTGAAGGTAGGCACACTACGCGGTATTACGGTGAGGTGTCATTTATAAAACATGGTACGCTGCGTAAGCGCGCCTGTTCGGTAAATATGCCTGGTGCTTCCCACGGGACACTACGGATGCTGCTCCTTATTGTCAAGTGCACCCTGCAAATTAAGTGGTATTAGTTGCCGCGCATTTTTCAACACTTCATTAGCTAATACCGTATACACTTTTTTGTGAGCAATGTGTTATTCAATGTGTTACCTGATACACACAGTTGCAGCAAGCCATCCCTGTTCTGAGCAGGTGCGTTTCGTTGGAAGTGCATGGAGGATGTACCAGTTCCAAGGACCACCATCGTAACATAATTTTACTGCCGCAGCTGCGTTGCACGTCACAGTAAGAATGTTTATTTGCTCTCATTCAATCTACATACGTCGTATTAGCTATTTCTTTTCTACTGGTTAGCGAAATCATCAGCCATTTTTACTGTCGTTTTCCTGCGTGTACACGGCACCGTAAACGTTGGGAAGGTTCGGTATGTGTACCACCTGACGGCCAACGGTGAGTTGGGTTCAGTCTATAGGTGGTACTGTTAATGGGACGGAACCAGCCAATGAGAGCGTTTTACGCTGAGGGCTATTGATTTGGCCATAAATTGAATGTACCGTTAGTTGGACGTTAAGCAAATATACTTGCCAGTCGTACGCCGGTCTCCTGCTTTGGGAAGTCGGGCTGATCAGAGTGCACGCTAGCAGCAGGTCATCGGTAGGTCAGCCGAAACCATAACATATATTTTTGGCGACGGAAGGTAGTGGATCAAGATGTCAATTTCAGCGGAAGACCTGAAAATCATTTTGTTGCAGCAACAGCAGCAATTTGAAACAGCACAGCTGCGTATGATTGAAACCATCACCCAAATGTTATCTGTGCAGCCTACGGTCGTTCAGAACTATGGGAAGCCTTCGGCGGATGCGATGATCAGTAGTGTTAATGAGTTCATATTCGATCCTGACTCAGGATTAATATTCGATGCGTGGTTCAGGCGCTATGAAGATGTTTTCAGGGCAGAGTTGTCAGGTCTCGATGATGCATCTAAAGTTCGCCTTTTGTTACGAAAACTCGGAACGGTTGAACATGACCGATACATTAACTACATTTTGCCAAACAACGCGCATGATTTCAGCTTTGATGATACAGTTGCTCGACTCACAGCGTTGTTTGGAGACCAGTCGTCTCTTTTCAATAACCGATACAATTGTCTAAAGCTATGCAAAAAGGACAATGACAGTCTTATTGCTCACGCGGCGATAGTCAAACGTGAATGCCAGAAATTCAAACTGAAGTCGCTCACGGAAGACCAGTTCGAGTGTTTGATACTAGTATGCAGTCTACAGTCCCCAAAAGACGCCGAGATACGAACGAGAATACTTGGTATGTTGGAACGCGACACAGATGTTACATTACAAAACGCCATTGCTGAAGCCCAAAGAATCATGAATTTAAAGCACGATACGGCTATGGTGGAAGATTCGAGAGCACATTCCGCAGATATATCTGTCCAGTAAATTTCAGGAAACAACCCACCGACCGCTCAACCTAGCAGATATCCACAATCCAAACCCCCATCACCTTGCTGGCAATGCGGAGGATGGCATTTTGTGAGATGGTGTCCTTGCAGCAAACATGTTTGTCAAAGGTGCTTTAGACGGGGGCACAAGGAGACCCACTGCAGATTCAAAACATCATTTAGATCGTCATGTGATACTCGAAAAGCAGATTACCGAAGGTTCGCGACAAGAGTAAGCGCTAACTATACGGACGATGTTAAAGATAGAAGAAGTACGTCACTATTACCATCAACGGAAGAGTAGCGCGTCTGCAGATTGATACGGCTTCCGATATTACAGTCATTACGGAAAACTTATGGAAAGCTATCGGTTCACCTGACATTAAACCAACTAACCATAAAGCGAAGAGCGCATCAGGTACGAGTCTAAACTTGATCGGTCAGATTGAATGTGAGTGTCGCTTTGCCAACTTCACCGCTTGGGGAACTATTTTCGTCACAACACGCAAGAATTTGAACCTCCTTGGATTAGACTGGATTGAGCGATTCAACCTCTTAGATCTTCCCATTAATCAAATCTGTGCAAGTGTACACTTACACATAACCAAAAGTCCCCAAGGCAATGGCAATCGAACAAATTCGAGAGAAATATGCACCTGTTTTCCGTGAAGGACTTGGTAAGTGTACAAAGTTGCAAGCCTCATTGTCCTTAAAACCCGATGATGTTCCTGTTTTCCGTGCAAAGCGGCCAGTACCTTACGCAGCCGTCCCAATTGTTGACCAGGAACTTGACCGTTTGGAGAAACTTGGGGTTATCTATGCAGTGAACTACTCTTCTTGGGCGGCTCCAATTGTGGTTGTCAAGAAGCCGAACGGCCAGATCCGAATATGTGCCGACTTTTCTACTGGGCTGAATGAAGCGTTAAACACGCATCAGTATCCTCTGCCAGTCCCAGATGATCTGTTCTCGAAACTAAATGGGGGCCAGTGTTTTGCCAAGCTAGATCTATCGGATGCGTACTTACAAATAGAAGTTGCTGAAGCTTCTAGAGAATTACTGACGATAAATACGCACCGAGGTTTGTATCAGTATCATCGACTTCCATTCGGAGTTAAGTCCGCGCCAGCAATTTTTCAGCAAATCATGGATACTATGCTAACAGATGTAGATGGTGCTGCCGCATATTTGGACGGTATCATTGTCGTCGGAACTAACCCAGATGACCTTTCCAGAAAGCTGCACTTAGTACTTGATCGCATACAAGAGTACGGATTTAGACTTCGCCCAGAAAAGTGCACGTTTTTCATGGACTCCATTAATTTTCTTGGCTTCATAATTGACAAGAACGTTAGACGTCCAGATCCGTCAAATATTGATGCTATAAAAAAGATGCCACCTCCCAAAGATGTGCCTACTCTGAGGTCCTTCTTAGGACTCGTCAGTCATTACAGTCAATTTCTGCCACATATGCACAGCGTGCGTGTACCACTCAATGAGTAACTCACCAAGGACAAACGTTGGCACTGGTCCGAAGATTGTCAGAAGTCCTTTGAGGAGGTGAAGCGAATGCTGTGTTCTGACCTTATGCTGACACATTACGACCCTACACTTGAAATCGTGGTGGCGGCAGACGCTTCGAAGTATGGCGTGGGTGCAGTTATCTCTCATAAGTTTGCTGACGGATCGGAAAAAGCGATCGCACACGCAGCTCGATCACTGTCGCCAGCCGAAAAGAATTACGGGCAGATAGAGA